GGTTCAATGAGAAAGCCGTTGATGGCTTGTTTGGTTTTACAAAGTCACTGTTTCCCGGCGACGGATCCTTGTGGAGAAGTCAGGAATCCGCCCTTTTCCTCTTTACGATGCTTCTGAGTGACTTCCAGGATCTTAGTAAGACTATCCCTGACGCTGTTGCTAGCGCCTATCTCGAATTGGTTGATTTCACCATTAACAAGCCCGATGAACCTCTGCTTCGCGCTCGTGGCTACCTCGTTGCCGGTATCATTGGCCGCTCCTTTCAAACTCCTCTCGCGCTCTTGGATCGCATGGTCCATGCCATCACAAATGAGGAGTCAGAAGTTGTCCAAGTCGCCTGTATTAAGGCTGTTGAAGGCTTGATTAACTCCGGTCGAGTAGGCGCCGATCGCCAGGTGCCCATCATTACCGCTATCCAATCCTACATGAACGAAAAGGACCCTGCTGAAATGGAAGAGGCAGACGAACTCCTTGTCGTCCTTGCTGAGACACTCCGTTCGACCATTAGTCTGGATACCAAGATTGCTCTTTCAAGCGAAATTCAATCCACCGACCTGCTGTTCATGCTAGCCAAGCTTGGCGCCAGCAACTTCCAAGTCACCATGATAATTTCAGAGGCCTTTGAGGATATTGTTGCCAGCCTTTCAGACAGTGCTTCGTTCAGCGCTCTTTGCGCTCGTACTCTGCCGACGCTCACCGGTGCCTTTGATGTTGCTAGTGTGACTGAAGACAACCCTCTTGTCACAGTCGCCACTGAACTGCTTGTTGTTCTGGCTGAAAATGGTTCAGAGCCACTCCCTGCTGGGTTTGTGGCCACCATATTCCCCAAGTTGAACCGTCTCTTGATGGAGTCGGAGGAAGGCGAAGTCCTCCGACCCGGCTCTGAAATTGTCAAGTGGGTTCTCTCTCATGATCATCAGCAGGTTTTCAATTGGCAAGATGCAAATGGCCGATCAGGCCTCGAGGTCTGCTTGCACATCATTGACCGTCTACTTGGCCCTTCTATAGAGGATAACTCTGCATCCGAAGTAGGTGGACTGGCTGCAGAACTCGTCGAGAAGGCTGGCCAAGAACGTCTTGGTCCGTTTCTGCCTCAGCTTTTGCAGGCCGTCGCCAATCGACTTGCATCCGCTCAAGCTGCTGCTTTCATCCAGTCTTTGATCTTGGTCTTTGCACGGCTTTCTCTGAACGGCGCTCAAGATGTCGTCGAGTTCCTAAGCCAGATTCAGATCAATGGAGACAGCGGACTGCAGGTTGTTATGGCGAAGTGGCTCGAGAACTCAGTTAGCTTTGCAGGCTACGATGAAATCAGACAAAAGTGCGACGAGTGCTCACTCCACTTGATTTACTTGCTCATATCATGCTGACCTTTGTTTAGTGTCATTGCCCTTTCGAAGCTCTATGCACTTAACGACTCCCGCCTCGCCCAGATTCAAGTTAAGGGTGACTTGATTGTAGGCGCCGATGATGGCAAGATTAAGACTCGGTCACGCGCGAAACAGAGTATGTATCATGAGTCACGTCTTCGATCAATTTGTTCAGCTCGAAGAGTTTACTAACGGCACGGCCGGAACTAGACCCTGATCAATACACAATCGTCCCTGCTCCCCTAAAGATCGTCAAGGTCCTGATTGAAGAGCTTGCATCCGCCGCTGGTGCAGGTGCGGCTGCCAGCACTGCTGCCAGCACTGCAGCTGCCGCCGTTGCTGCTGCCGAGTTTGACGAAGACAACGATGAAGACGGCTGGGAAGACGATGACGATACCCTTGACCTTAGCCTGGCTGCTACCAAGGCTGATCTCATGACCTTCATGGAAGGCGGCCCCCAGCGACGACCAGACGATGAGACTCACTCTTACCTGACGGAGTTCTTTGTCCGATGCGGCCGTGAGAACATTGCCAACTTCCAGGAGTGGTACAACATGCTTTCCGAAGACGAAAAGACCAGGCTTAACCTAGTTGCCAACTCTGCAGGCTAAGTTAGCAAGGAAGCTCTGTGATGAAGAAGAAAGATTAACGAAGAAAGATGATGACACGCTTGAGACGGTTGCATTTATCACGACTGCTGAAACGTATCACGACTTGCTTGTTTCTGCCTGCGTGGAATTGAATGATACAGTTGAAAATAAAATGGACAAGAGAGGATGAGAGCTGTTGGACTGCGTGTGTGAGAGACGACAAATTACATAGATGGCACAACTTGAGGACACACTCTTGAGATGAGAGAAAAGAATATAGTAATAAAACCACTGCTCTCCACAGTATCTGGCCGGTTACAAATGAATGGCAAAGTTCTGATTATGTTTCATAAATCATAACAATCATTAATTATTCATCACGGTACTAATCGTATTTCAACCTAATCTTACAAGTCTTCCCAGTCTCGTAATACTTTGTGATGAAAGCATCGCCGGCGAGGAATCGCACACCCTTCACTTCGTACCCTTCTTCTGGGGTTCACGTCAATCTCAGATGATGTGTCCTCCGCCAAAGCCTCCAGATCCGCCAAAGCCTCCGGATCCGCCAAAGGGCCCGTTGCCTGGTCCTTGGCCTGGCCCGGGGAATCTCGGCGTGCCCCCTGGTCCGACGGGATCCCATCGCGCACCGGGGGGAGCTTGCGGATCGTAGCCCCCATAACCGCCGTTGCCGCCCTCGCCGGTAAACAAGGGATCGTCAAAGGTTGGATGCATCCCGCTGGGGGCTCCCGGATGTGGCAGGCCACCCGGGACGAAGGAGCCTCGAAGAGGATCATGCGGCCCCAACCCGGGAGGGTTCAAGTCGTCGTGGCCGATGTTGAACGGGTGCCGGCCGCCAGGCATGGCTATCGGGTTCCCGCGGGGCGGCCGATTAATCTCGTATTCATCCTCGAACCCAGGAGGCGGGAAGTCGCCAACGGGAGCTCCAGGCCGGGGTCTGGCCATCGCGGGAAGGGGCCCAGGAGGGTGGTAGGGAATATTGGGCTCGACAGACGGCTCGAATGGACGCTGGGGGTTGCGCCTCTCCTGGCCGCGGCGTTCCGAACGAGCCGTCTCCTCGGCGTCTTCTGTCTCGACGTAGCCTTCGCTTTGAAGCTTTGGGATGAGCTTCTGGACGATTTTGACTTTGAGGTCATTCAGCAAATCTGCGGTAGACTCTTGTTAGCATGGCTGCACTGTGTACGCAATGGCGGCTCTAGGGGTAGCAGCCGTGAACCACCGTACCGGATATTGCCTGTCCTGAAACAAACACGTTGCGCAGCTTCTCGACCAAATCGGAGCGGTCTTCTTGCCCGTCGGTCATGGCTATGCGCACAGGGAGAGCCGCCGAGTTGACAATGTCGCGCACGGTGCGCTCGAATCGGTGGATGTTTTCGTCGCCAACGGCCAGGCCGCGGACTTCGACTTTGGCACCCATTCGGTCGATCCGGAACACAAAGTCCATGGAGGACTGTTTGTGCTTGTAGACGAAACTGAGGGAGCCGAAGCCGGAGTTCCATTTGGGCGGGAGGCGAGGCGCAAGGGACTCGCAGTCGGCTAGGCGCGTCGCAAAACCAGCTTGGTTAGTAGATGTTGACGGCGATGCTGGATGCTCTGGACTTACGTATTACTTTATCTTGGTCGAATCCGCGGAGTCGGAAACCAAGAGCGGCCAAGTATGCATGGACGAGCAAGGCGATGGCTTCATAGGAGCTCGCCAGGTCGGAGCTGTCGTCGGCTTGTTGGTGTGTTGGCAAGGCGTCGGCCATGCCCTGTAGCACGGACGAGGTACCGAGTATCGATGCCATGGCGATGGTTGGCCGTCGAAGGAGTTTGATGAATGGTGACGGTAGAGAACTAGTAGGGGCGCTGTGTCACGTTGGAAGCTTGAAGCTGGATGCTTGGGCTCGACTAGAAGAAGTGGGCAAAAAAGGTGGGTAAAGGCAAGCGCGGGGTCGGTTCGCCAGCAGACACCCCAGAGTGGCGTCATTGTCTGGCTGCCTTCAACGGTCCAGCCCTATAAGTGGAGACCGATGCACGATGCACCTGCTCTAGGTACCTACCTAGGTACGGAGTAGTCGGTAGGTACTCAAGTACCACCTGCCATATCTGGCGTGCAGTCCGTATCTTTAGCAACGGCAAAAGTCTCGCGAGACAGGTACTCAGTCTAATGAGCTGTCTTGTTATTGCATTAGGTGCGTGAGTACACTGACTAGAAACTCCCTCAGCACATGTGCGTGCGGTAGATACATGGCTTGGTAGTACTACCGGCGACTCCATGTTCCCACCGAGTACGCCGTACATGATTGATTACACGATGCGTATTTACAGTCTGGTTCGAAGTGCAATGCTAGAGCTGCTCAAACAGGCATCTTTATCCCCTGGAGTCTACAGTACTATGACTGCGTATGTCTATTCTAACACATGTTGGGCCTCCTGTTTTCCCTGCACCTTCGAAGCTACTGAAGATGCTACATTACCTTTGGTTGAACAATATGCATAAGAGCCGGGTATCTCGACATGAAGACATAACTAGGTAGTCGGAGCACACATCCTGGTTTGCAAAGGTCACCCATCCACCCACATGTCCAAATGGGCGTGATATTTTAGAACCATTTTAGTCATGTGCGAATATCTACTTCTTTTGGTATTATTATGTAAACAGATGCTTATCAACGGCCACATTTTCGGATCATATCTTTTCCTAAACCGTTCAACAGACCGTGTTAGAGCTGCTGCCGCTTCCATCGGCTCCTGAATCCATAGGGCCATACCTAGTTCTCATGGCATCACTTTGTTGTCGCTACTTATGCTGTCGTTGCTGTAGCCTTCGGGGGGTTGGCAGCTGCTGGGGAGTTAACGGCCGCTTGGGAGCTCACGGCTGCTTTGGGGCTAAAGGCCTGGGAGTTAGCAGCAGCCTGGGTGCTGACGGCGGCTTCGGAGTTGACGGCCTGAGATTTGGCGGCTTTGGAGCTGCTAGGTTGAGACTTCGGAGGAGCTGATGAATTCGGCTTAGAGCTGCTGGGTTGAGAGCGTGAAGGAGCTAATGAACTCGGCTTGGAACTTGACGGAGCCGGTAAGCTTGGTTTAGAGCTCAAATGAGCTGACGAGCTGAGTTTGGAACTTAAAGGAGCCGACGAACTCGGTTTAGAACTGCTAGGTTGCGCTGAACTAGGCTTTGAAGAACTGAGCTTAGAGCTTGAAGGAGCTGACGAACTTCGCTTTAAGCTTGGCTGTGACGAGCTCGGTCTTGAAGAGCTAGGCTTAAGGCTGCTTGGTGGTGACGAGATTGGCTGTGATGAACTCGGTCTTGAAGAGCTGGGCTTAGAGCTACTTACCCGCGAAGAGCTCGGCTTGGACGAGCTTCGTCTCGAAGAGGTAGGTTTTGAAGAGGTAGGTTTTGAAGAGCTGGGCCTCGAACTGGGCTTAGAGCTACTTGGCTGTGAGGAACTCGGCTGTGATGAACTTGGCCTGGAGCTTGATTTTAAAGAGCTGGGCTTGGAACTGCTCGGCCGCGATGAGCTAGGTTTTGATGAACTTGGCTTGGAGCTTGGCCTTGAAGAGCTGGGTTTAGAGCTGCTTGGCTGTGACAAGCTAGCTCTTGATGAACTAGGCTTCGATGAACTGGGCCTTGAAGAGCGAGGTTTTGAAGAGGTTGGCTTAGAGCTGCTTGGTGGTGACGAGCTCGGCCTCGAGCTGGGTTTCGAAGAGGTGGGTTTAGAGCTGTTTGGCCGTGATGAGCTCGGTCTTGAAGAGCTAGGTTTTAAAGAGCTCGGCTTAGAGCTGCTCGGCCTTGATGAACTCGGTCTTGAAGAGCTGGGTTTGGAGCTAGGCTGCGATGAGCTGGGCCTCGAACTGGGCTTTGAAAAGCTTGGCTGCGAGGAGCTTGGTCCTGAAGATCTGGGTCTCGAAGAACTGGGCTTTGCGGAGCTGGGTCTAGAGCTCGGCTGTGAAGAGCTTGGTTTTGAAGACCCATGTTTCGAGCTGCTCGGTTGCGACGAGCTGGGCTTCGACAAGCTCGGCCGTGAAGAGCTCAGCTGTGAGGACCTAGGTGTAGAGCTGAGTGGTTGCGACGAGACAGGCTTCGCAGAGCTGGGCCTCGAGCTTGGCTTCGATGAAGTTGGCTTTGCGATACTACTAGGCCTTGACGAGGTCGGTTGTGATGACCCCGACGGATGTGAGCTGAAAGGTTTAGAAGAGCTATGACGTGGTGTGCTTGAATGTGACGTCGCCTTTGAACTTCTGCCATGCTTGGCAGAGCTCCGGCGAGACGAACTGTGTTTCAAGGTGCCGCGTTGAGAAGACTCATGCCTTGACCGGCTACTCGATTTCGATGTCGAATGCGGTGGAGTTGACTCATGGCGTGTAGTAGAATGATGTTCCAGGTGCGATGTGCGACTGTGCGTCGAGGTATGATGTCCCCTCGTAACGGTAATCGTAGTACATTCAATTTCGTAAATGGTGATTGTGCCCTTGCAAGCACGACACTCGGGCCTATGAGTCTCGACTGCAGGAGGCGGCCTAGTCTCAACAATGGTTATGGTAATGTACGGAACACTGGATGGCTGATAGCAGTATACGGTGCCCATGCAGCCTTCACACTCGGGATGATGAGTCGACCATCTGGTTGTTCGCGCCTTCCACGGCCAGGGGTTTGTGTAATAGGGCAACGTAATGGTCCTTAGGGATGGTAGAACTTGAATCTCCTTTCTACCATGCCAACCACCCTTGCCATTTCCCCCTTTATGACGATGATGATCCTTGCTGTGGTCTTGTCCTTTACCGCCATTATGCTCGCGGTCGTTGTCCCCTTTATAATTACAGTGATCCCACTGGCCATTCTGATGTCTCTTGCCGTTTTGCCCATCATGAGCATCCCAGGCATCTTGAGCATCCTGGCCACCCTGACTGGGTGCCTCTGCCAACACAGTTGGTCGTGATGGGCCAGGTGGCCCGACTGCCAAAGTAAAGGGCTGCTGTGCACAATTCTCGTCGCACACTCCAAGGTCACCTTGCGATGTCACGCTGGCATGTTGACTGGCCACGCCAACTTGACTAGAGAGAGATGCTGTCGACAACAACACCACCAGGAATGCAACTGCCCTCTTGATGATCTTGCTGGAACCATGGGCCATGGTTTGTCTCTGTAGCAGCAACAGGAAGAATAGAATGGAGAACAGAATCGGTTATGCCTGGCCTCAGATGACTGACTTACAGGCTGATGACGATGTTGAAAATCGCCCCGTGAGCATGTCTAACACAATGACAGGGCCATGCTGAACCTTTGGCAATATATACCGTGGGACAATCAATACGACACGGTAATACGTCACATGATGAAAGTAAAGAATGCTTCTCGTAAAACGGCCTGGCTTTTTCTAGACCATTGTCCATGTAAATCTAGACTGGCCACAAATGAGGCTGTCACGTCTACGGGCTTCATCGGGCACCCGGACTGTGAGCTGGGTGGTTTCCAACATGGCCGACTAGCCCTCGGTTAGGTTGGGCGAGGCTGGCGGCTAATGATCTATACGTTGAGGCTATTGCCATCGAGTAAACTATATCATCTACCCAATATTTCGTCATCTTGAAAGAATGTGGCCCCCCATACGAGGTTGTGGTATTCCAGCCTCGCGGCGGCCTTTAGTTCAGAAGGCTACGCCCATCAACAGGCCAGACCACCTCATGAAGCATGGCTCGTATATTGGTCAAAGCCAACAAAAAAGTGGCTAACACGGTCAAGCATGAAGCTGCTGTGCTTGGCACCGGGAAGCAACCATGATGTTGGACGGTGTGGGCAGCCATCAGCGGGCATTTATGGCTTGAATAAGGCCTGAGGCTATGATTCTTCAGCCGACTAAAATCCAATATGGTGGATTGGTGCTCGCGGGAATAAGCTCTCGTTGAAGCTGCGTAGTATATGGGTATGGAAAATGACAAGATGAAGTCGTTGGTCGTCGGACGTTGGATTGTGAGGTGGGTCTAGATCTTGGACAGATGACGCTATTCCTAATCTGGCAGAGGATCCGCCACAGCTTGAGCCAGATGGTGAAATTTGGAGGCATGCATTTCGTCTCGTGTTGTTTCTGGCGCAATAGGATTGTAATTATGACGAGATTCTTGTACTCAATGATTCTCCCTCGTTGGACATGTGGCTGCTCTGTTTCGTAAATAAAAAAATTCGGCGCAAGGCTGAAGCAGATGCCATTGCATGGCGTAGGTGGAAAGTTTCTTGATGCTCCAAGCAAACAACTGCAGGACCAACCCGGCAGGCTCTCGCACGACTTGCATCTTTGTTCGAGTTGCCGTGTTCCAACAGCTCTCTTTAAGTATCCCAGCCATTGTCCAGACTCCACGTCGACGCCCGGCTTGGCTGGTCCCTCTCCCTGTCGGAGAATTAATGGCATCGGGATCGGCAGCGCCTTCGGTAACTTGTCGAAGCTTGAATGTAACCCGTCAATCGGCCCCGTCGCCACAGCTGTCAAGGAAACGAACCAGACGCCTGGACCAAAACAATTCAGCGGCCTGCTTCCATTGTGGGGCCGTCTACATGTACTCCGTACTCGGACCTGACCCGTCCTGGACTACATACAATGGCTCGGCATGGCTGAAGCCCTTCAAATGTTGACACGAATCGACGTGGATGGCAATCACTAATACGAGAAATGCCATGCTGGCGAGTCCGTCACATTCATTGCCTTTCCGCCGCCGTCCCAACCAGCCCGAACCAGGCGCCTTCCGTGGCTGCTCCATTTCATCACGTGAACGCGCTACTTGAGCAGGGAAAACGAATCCACCGTCCCTCGACCCGTCCATCTTCCAGATCCAGATGCTCGCAATTCCTGGCTGACGAGGCTGACCGGGCCATCGAGGCCATCGAGCCGCATTCCTTCGTATTCTTCTCCCGTGGTTTCGCCAATGTCTCGCGCTGCTCATCCACATCTCCAGCCAAGCGCTAGTTCAGCTGCCACGGACGCCTCGCTTTCGCCGTCCCAGGCCTCAACCCTCCTCGCCTCCTTCACCAACTTCCTCACCGTTGCGCTGCACTCCATCCTCTACCACCGCCAGCTCTACCCGCCGGCTACCTTTCTCACAGCCCGCGCCTACAACCTGCCCGTCAACCAGTCTCGACACCCCGGCGTCTGCGCCTGGCTCCGGGACGCCGTCGCCGCCGTCGCCGCACAGGTCCGCGCCGGCTCTGCGCGCCACGTCGCCCTCGTCATCCACGCACCCGCCAGCTTCGACGTCGTCGAGCGCTGGATATTCGACCTGCACTCGTTCCCTGCCACCTGGGGAGACGAGGACGCTACCCATTTCGACAATGCCAGCCGCCATCCCCCAGCGCCTGATGCACCCGTCAACTGGACCGATGTGAACGAGGCGCTGCGAGGGGCCTTGAGCAGGATCTCTCAAGTCGCCCAGAGCAGACCACATCTCCCCGAGGCCTGTACGTTTACCATAGGAATTGAACTGCGTGACGAGGCTCTGCCACCAATTCAGGCAAGTCACCCCCCCTTTCTCTTTCGTATCGATTCCACCGGGCTGTTGTTTGATTCTTCAGACTTTGCCGCTTTCTGCCACACGATGCGCCTCTAGCCGTCCATCGGATTCTACTAACAATGGTTCTGAACCACTAGCACCCACAGCTTTGGATTCCCGCACAAACTGAGCTCCAAATACCATCCGAGACCAGGCTGGAACCAGGCCGGGCCGTCAGAGGGACGGCCACCGCGCCGATTCGCTCTGTTCAAGCAGGGCCCTTGTACTTTGAATGCTGGGTTGAGCAAGGAAAACTCCCGCCCGGCACTGCTTCTCCCAAGGCACCATCGCCCTCATTCTCGCCTACATTTGACAGCAGTGGAGGTTCCCCAGACGCCACGACGTCTTGAAGTTTGTAATCCCTCTTCTCGTCATAGTAATTCATGATGCCTCGAGAATTTTACATGGGTCAACAGAAAAGCCCTTTAACACAGAACAGCCTTTTATTTACGCTCATATTCTTTCCGTGGACGCGTCATCCCGCTTGCCCTTCCATCGTGCGCCGCTCCGGTTAATAACCATGGTAGTATATACAAACCTCATGCCGGTTTACATCACAGTCCACACATGATGCCAGTCTTGGACATGAATTCTCCATCGATAAGCCTCTCCTCTTCACGCCGTCCTGCGCCCAACAAAGCCAAGAATACGCCCGAGGCGCAAAAATACTTAGTCTGCTCCTCGCAGCATGGTCTTCAGGCTCACCATTTCCCTCTTGAGGCGAGCATTCTCCTTCTTCACCCTTGCCGTCTCCTCCCCTTGCTCCTTCAGCTTGGCCACCAACTCCTCCTTGTCATCCCTGCCTTTGCCTCTCACAGCCTTGATAATTTTGCCCAGCTCCCCATTAAACTTTTCGTAGAGTAATTCATTTTCCGCCACCACCTCTTTATGAAGCTGGTCGATGGCGCGGACTTTGGCCTCTGTACTCTTTATCGTAGTATCTAGTTCCTTCTGCGTCGTGGCCTGCTGTTCACGCAACTCTCTCATCATGACGCCGATCCGATCCTCTAGTTCTTTGAGCGAGGCAGTGAACCCAGACATGTCCGCCTGAGAATTGGGTGACCGAGCTTTGTTCACCCGAGCCATTTCGTCCCCAATCTTGGACAGCTCGCTCTTGAGCGAGGAATCAACCTCCTGGGCGAATTGCTTCTCAGATTGAAGCCGCTCTCTGAGCTTTTGCGGCGAGTGGAGCCGGAGGCGTTGAGCATTAGATCGCGTCGGGCTCACGGGGCGAGTTGGGTAGTCGGCACCAGACGCCAGCTTGCTAGGCCGAAGTGTAGGGATGCTTGATACCGACAGGGCTTTGGAGTGTCGGTAAATCCTGGATGGGGTTTCCGGTGATTTGGAAGAATTACCACCGGAGTGCTCGGATACGTGGCTGACGATCTTTTTAGAGGAATCAGCGAGGTTTTCTTTTTCCTTTTGCCTGGAGGCGCGTAAGGCTTCAGCCGCGCTGGGACTGACGGGGATCTTGGAAAGGGGTGCTGATTTGGGGCTGGTGGGGTTGTTATTCATCTTGCCAGATGTTTGCTTCGTGCTTTGCAGTGGCTGGAATGGCTGTTCGTCTAGTGTTGCGGCGGCCATGAGACTCTTGAGGTCTGACAGCGAGCTTCGTCTCTTCTTTTTCGGGTTCTTCGTATTTGAGACTATTCTCTCCGTAGGGGATGGCTCGCCGATGGTGTCGAGTGGGAAATCATAACGGCGCGAGCTCGTTGGGCGCTGTGGTGTTTCATCGAATGCACCTGCGATGGGGGGTCGGTCTCGGGACATGGCACGCCGGTGCAGTTGCTTCGGTAGGCTGTTATCATCTATTGAGTGTGCTCTGTACAGCTTGCCGTGTGCGCCGCGTGATAAGCTGGATGTATCGCCCGTAGCGGGATTCCTGTGCTTGCTCAAGGTTCGCCATACCGATGGTCGCTCATCCTGTGAATTCTGTCGAAGAAGGGCGTTGAGTCCAAACTTGCGACGAAGTGACGACGTATTGGATGTGATTGAGCCAGTGTGAGCCTTGCCTTGTCGGTAGCCAGACACAAGAGACTCGGAAACAGAAGAACCAAGAATAAAGCTCTGATGTGCACTTGGGTCTTCAGATATCTTATCGCAGTCTTCGACGAGTCGATCTAGTAAATTAATGTAGTTGTGAGCATCGCCATCAGTGACGAGAAGCTCAGCAAATGCCAAAGTCAATGCGCCCCTGTCACTGTCATTCCCACAGCCATCCAACAGGTCAGCCAGCAGCTTGATCACGGTGATGAAGGCTCGTCGATTTTGCGGTGCCATATCCCGGAAAAGATAATTCACAAAGTCGGCAAAATTCCCAGGGACCCTCTTGTTAGCTCTTTCAAGTAAAGTATCCATTGCTTGCATGGTCATGACAGGGCCCATCTGGTCTGCCCACGCAATATGCAGAAATTTCTCGAATGCAACGAATACGACTTCCGTGCCTATATCGGAGGCGACGTCGTATTCAAAAGGAGTTTCAATGAATCTGTTGTATATATCATTCACAGACAACTCATCGACAAGCGATCGATTTAGTAATGTACGACCAATTATGGTGCCCTTTCGAGACTGAAGAGCCGCGGTAAAGCCAGTAAATGTTTGCTCTAGTCTAAGCAGGGGATTCGCTGGTCGCCCATCAGCGGTGTCGGGGCGGCTGTCCTTGCCTTTGATCGAACCAAACATGGAGTGAATGCTATTCGCTCGATGAAGTGATGGCTGCTGCTGGGATTTCACGCCAGATACAACAACATCTGGAGAGTTGCTTGCGCTTCCATTCCAGAGGCTGGAAAGGAGCTTTACAGGTGATGCTGCAAGGAAGGATCGGCCTTTCTCAGTCCTTGTGGAGAAATTCAATCCTCGTATTGTCTTGGTATAATAGGATACCATAGAAGCAGTCAAGTGGGTATTGCTAACATTGAATTGGGTGCTAAGTAGCTGGATGACTGTGGTAGATGGGTTAGTATGTTTCCAATTCCCCCTTGACAGGAAGTACTTACTGCGACGAGACATGGTAGGGAGCAAGTCCTCCAAGTCGATGTCATCTTCAAATTGCTTCCCATTGAGACCAGCAGTGAGCATCGAAACCCGCTTGAGGTTGTTGCTGGACACATTGATCACTATCTCGACTCCGTAGTGGCCGAGCGGCGCTCCTTTTGTGCCTTTCTCGTGATCTACCACCACACGAATCGCGGCCGGTTCTCTTCGACCCTCGACTAGTTGATGGGCGCCTTCTTGAAAGACAGCCACATGCAGTCCCAGGTTATTATCCTGCATACGAACTGATCGGAGCGTCCAACAAGGGTTCTCTCGTTCAGTTTCTGAGAACCGTGCCTCAACTCGCGCCTTGACTACATCTTCGCCCCATTTGGTAGCCTTGCCTTCGAAAGCCTCCTGAAGCAGAAAGCACCGAGATGTGGGCGCCTTACTAATCTTGTATTCTCCGGTATGTGCGTCCTTCATATCTCTTGTCGACGTCATCCACACCAACGAGCCATCTTCCGACTCAGTAAACCGCACGTCCGCAAGGCTATGCCAGCCCGTAAATGCGAATTCATACGACGCCGGACCGCCGGCAGCATTCGTCATCGAAATAAGTAGCTCTGCAGCAGATGGCTTATCGATTTCCCGGAGCAAATCACGCCCTGTCATTGTGAACCCAATCTTTCTAAGTATAATAATGCAGTCTGCGAATAGTAGGAAAATGCCAGAGCTGTCCAAGTCGCTTGTTCCACCTTGGAATGGAGGCATAAGTTCAATGAAGTCGGCCGCAACTATAAGTCGACTCTGCGGCTCTAAATCCCTTGGCCACGATTCAACCATATTTCGAAGTCTGTTGGCAACGTGAGGCTGATCCGGCAACGGGTCGTCCATGGAACAAATATTAGTAATAATATCTCTGGCTTTCAGCATAGGCTGAAGCGCGGGATGGGTCATTGGCAGAGAGCCAACTATTTGATCAATAAGGAGGCTGTATCGAGGCAATCGCTGAACAGGTTCAATAAGAATAGACCTAACAGTCTGTTCGCCAGTTTGGTTTACCCTTTGCCTAAAACTGGACTGTTGGTCAAGAAAAGAGTTGAGCAATATAGGAAAGTGCTGGCTAGCCTTGATGTAATCCTGATAGCTCTGGGTAAACTTTGGAAACCATTCATGAAATAATCTAGCCATGCTCAAGGCTCCACTGGGATCTTTTGTTCGAGCTGAACCTGAACTCTTCATGCTGCCCAAAGTCGATGCAGCTTGGTCCATGTCTCTGAGAGCCCCATCCTCGGTTTCATCCATGATCTTGCGAAGCTGGTCCACGAAGGCAGAATTCAGCTGTAGTATCTGATCTGCCGATTGGGGAAAGAGTCTTTCCAATTCTTCTTCTGAAGGACTGAGACTTCCCTCTGGTCTTGCCCTGGCACTTTCCCGGAAATCCTTGGCAATAGTATTTACCAGTTCACGAAGCTTCATGACATATCTTTCCTCCGTGTCGACCAGCTCAGCTAGCTTCATGCGGAGCTCATATTTTTGGTCCTTGGTGAACAATCTCCCTCGGTTTAATGATGTGGGTTTCGATGGCGCGCGTCGTAGCCTATTTGTTGGTAAAAACACCGGCTCGCCGAACAACTTGACAAGAGATGTATATCCGCCATACTGTCTCAGCGTCGGGTCTAATATGTCGTCTTCGTCGTCTGGCACTTCTTCCAAGTCGGCAGGCTGCAGAGGCACAATCGCGCCTGGCGGGAGAACAAAATCGAGATCCACGTTATTGATATGCTGCGTCTGAAGCGCATCCTGCAGCGAGGCGATCACTTCGGCCGCGTTGTCACTTTTGACCATGGATGCGACCAAAGCGGCAGCATGTTGTTCGCCAAAGAGAGCCGAGGCGGTACCGGGGCGCTTCCCCCTGGTCGGATATAAATTCTTGAGATAGCCTTTGACTCCATCGGGGAGCTCTGAGAAGTATTTGAACAGGCCAAAGGCCAACCCACGGAATACCTCGTCGACCTGAATCTCTCGTGGTAGATGATCGACGACTCCGTAAAATGGCGAGCTCGGGGAGATGGTGA